TGCGAGACATTCACCGTGGTGATAACTAAAGGTTAGTGTGCTCAGTGTACTGTACTATAGGACATGTACCATTGTTTAACGGCCGGTGACACGTACTTTGACATGAGGAGATACCCACAAGTTTAATGTACTTTACAGTATGACTGAAGGGCTCAACTTCTCAGCAATGCATCCACTTTGATCACAGCATTACATGTGTGAGGATTTAACTTGGTACTGCTGGTGTGTATTTGATTTTGATGGTGATTTCTGAGATGCTAAAGGATTCTTTCATTGTTGGTTATAATATAAATGAGGTAAGTTATGTTTTATAGCAGTGAAAGGTTTGGAGGGCCGAACACATGTGTTTAAGGGAGGCAGGGTTCAAACCAAAATGTTTCAGGGAGGCTGACCTCTAAGTGAGGGTAAAAGGGAGGCTAGAGTTAAATTAAGGGGTTCTGTAGAGGCTTAGGGACCAAACCGAAAGTTTGTGAGAGGCTGAGACCTGCTGGAGGCTGTATCCACTGGTGTTCCAAGGGAGCTAGATTGAAGAGTTCCCTGATAATGAGGCTAGGGTCTAGTAAGGCTGGGGCACTAGGGAAGACTTCTCAGGGGGGGGGGGGGGGGGGNGGGGAAGCTGTTCAGTAGACATTGAGGTCTGAGGGGGGCTGACTCAAGGGTTTTTGGGAAGCTGAGGGCTGACCTAGTAGTTGAAGGGAGGATGGGGGCTGACTTGATAGTTTTAGAGAGGCTTAATCCTAACCCAGGAATTGTAGGATGGCACTTGGAGGCCTGACCCTGGAGTTGATGGGATGGGAAGGAGTGAAAAACCTGACTCAGGAGTTCTAGGGAAACTTGGGTCTTACCTAGCAGCTCTTAGGTGAACGCCCATGCTAGGGATTTAATGAAGGATGAAACCTAATCAAAGGACTCTATTTTGAGGCTGAAGCAATATTAACCAGGAGTTCTAGGGAGACAGCGGCCTGACCCTGAAGTTGAAGGATGGGGGTAGGAGGCTAAAGCTTGACCCAGGAGTTCAAGGAAAGTGTGGGCAAAACCCAGTGGAGTCCTAGCTATATAGGCAGTCTGAGGCCGGATTTTCACAGAATAGAGTTGAGGTTTGGGGAGGAGGGGGTTACTTATTGAAAGGGGGGGNGGGGGGTCTTTAGTCTAGATATACATATATGGGCTACATTAGGCTACTGTATAGTATTTATTTTTTCGCAAGGTTGTATTTTCAGTAATATATAGCTAGTAATTTCAACAGGAGTTAAATTTGGTAATTCTGTGGGTCCACATCGATATATAAGTCACCCACAATTAAAATCCAAAAAGTGTAAAACTCAGATAAAAATCTTGGCTACCATGTGTCACGATTTCTCACTATCAAAAAGCAGCTTGAGTTTCATATGCTACGCAAATGTATATAATATCATCATGAATTGCATATAGAAACTAGGAGTCAAATGCCACAATTGAAATACCTGTTTGATAGTAGAGTCATTTTCAAGATACTTACAATATGTTACTAGATACATATACCTGATCATATTTTGAAATAAGACAACACAGGTTAATTTATTGCCTCTTGATAAATGCAGCAACGATTAATATACTATGTTTTTGATAAAAATAAAACCAATCAACCAGGTGCCATCTGACACAGACTCTGCACTTTGAGATTGCTTAGCATTTTATAACAATAAGAAATGAAAGATCACAAAATTTTCAGTTCACAAGTGTCCAAATTTTTTTTTTTTTTTTTTTTTTTTTTTTTTTTTTTTTTNTCAAATGAAAAAATTTTATGACAGCCAAAATACCCACAGAGATAATGAACTCCCAAAGAAAATGTGTTTCAATGTATTGCTGTTCTGTTAACCTCCCCAGGACCAAGACGACAATGGTGGTGACATTGAAAAACCTGACAAGACGAGCAGATCTCCAGAAAGTCCCAACCTCTATATAATGTCGTCTGATAAACAGCGTATCCTTGACGACACTGATCATGAACTGCAGCATGCCAGTATCCTGTCGTCAGGATCCAGCACTACGACAACAAGTTGCGTCAGGGTGGACGTAGGTATTTTAAAATTACAGCAAAAACGAAAGAATAAAGCTGCATCTTTTTAATCTTTAATATTTGGAGAGTACATTGGACAGGTTTTCCGGAACAAATACAAAATACATGTGTTAAGTAGATGTTGCGAATTTCCTTCTTTTATGAAAAAGTGTTCTGTGTTGGGAGAGTAAAAATGCAATGGGACCAGACTGGGATACAGCTTCCTCGATACTCCAGGGGTTATAGGTCACTAGCGCAAACTGAGTCAGACTGGGATAAAGCATCCTCGATACTCCAGGGGGTATAGGTCACTAGCGCACACTGAGTCAAACTGGGATAAAGCGTCCTCGATACTCCAGGGGTTATAGGTCACCAGCGCACACTGAGACCAGACTGGGATAAAGCATCCTCAATACTCCAGGGGTTATAGGTCACTAGCGCCCACTGAGTCAGACTCTCGATACTCCAGGGGTTATAGGGCACTAGCGCACACTGAGTAAGACTGGGATAAAGCATCCTCGATACTCCAGGGGTTATAGGTCACTAGCACACACTGAGACCAGACTGGGATAAAGCATCCTCAATACTCCAGGGGTTATAGGTCACTAGCGCCCACTGAGTCAGACTCTCGATACTCCAGGGGTTATAGGGCACTAGCGCACACTGAGTAAGACTGGGATAAAGCATCCTCGATACTCCAGGGGTTATAGGTGACTAGCGCACACTGAGTCAGACTGGGATAAAGCATCCTCAATACTCCAGGGGTTATAGGTCACTAGCGCACACTGAGCCAGACTGGGATAAAGCATCCTCGATACTCCAGGGGTTATAGGTCACTAGCACACACTGAGACCAGACTGGGATAAAGCATCCTCAATACTCCAGGGGTTATAGGTCACTAGCGCCCACTGAGTCAGACTCTCGATACTCCAGGGGTTATAGGGCACTAGCGCACACTGAGTAAGACTGGGATAAAGCATCCTCGATACTCCAGGGGGTATAGGTCACTAGCGCACACTGAGTCAGACTGGGATACAGCATCCTCGATACTCCAGGGGTTATAGGTCACTAGCGCCCACTGAGTCAGACTGGGATACAGCTTCCTCGATCCTCCAGGGGTTATAGGTCACTAGCGCACACTGAGTCAGACTGGGATAAAGCATCCTCAATACTCCAGGGGTTATAGGTCACTAGCGCACACTGAGTCAGACTCTCGATACTCCAGGGGTTATAGGTCACTAGCGCACACTGAGTCAGACTCTCGATACTCCAGGGGTTATAGGTCACTAGCGCACACTGAGTCAAACTGGGATAAAGCGTCCTCGATACTCCAGGGGTTATAGGTCACTAACGCACGCTGAGCTTTCGATTTTGCTATGACAAGCTCCAGGGGTAGCAGAGAGTAAATGTGAGCGTAACCCCTGTAGTATCGAGGATGAGTGGATACAGTATCTTTTATCGATTGAGCTACCTGGTCAACGGTATATTTACCTGGCCCCACGTCAGTTATGTCTAAAACGAAATTAAGGAGAGGTACTCTATGTACAAAAAGCTACGGTGCAATTCTCCTGTGTTTTGTTAGCAGTAGGACAGCCTAGGATCATAAGCATTAAAATTATTTTTGAAATATGCTTCGTTATGAATGTACATTTTGTATGTTATTTGGACAAATTGATAGCTATACATATGTAATTGATATTTTTAGGGGTTAATTCTTTTAGATACTTTTAAAAACTCTTAGTACTATAGGTGTCAACCTCTAAAACCTCCAATGAGGGAGATCTCCCGCATTCCACATTTCCAATGAGATAGATTTATTAGTGCGTGAAACACGACTGAAACTGCTTTGCTCAATTTGTATTTCCCTTTTTATGTGTCAAAGTAACTCCAAAAAGCATTTGTTTGATTCAGACACACCTGTTATGATCATTACACACACCCTGTAGTAACTAGGAGATCATTTGACCATAGAATGTAGATTTTGACTTTGTGTGATTTTGACTTGAGTTTTGAGCGAGATTGGTAAATTTTGGTCAAAATGAGGAGCTAAGTCTCCCTCCTAATAAGGGAGGATTGACAGCTATTTCTTACCTGCTCAAATTTTGTAGGTATTCAAATAAAACAATTTTTTTACAGTAATTGTCAATTTAATCAGGTAGATAGTATGGGGGTTGGGCTATCTCTTGCAGTGATAAATTAGTAAACGTGTTTGCTGTTTAAATGTGAAGGGTAAGATAGAGACCACAGACTTAACCATGAACTTCAAACTTTTTGTAACCTTGAGTTTTCTGACGTGTAATTTATCTTTGTGATAATGATCAAACACCATGTTTAGCACTTTTCTTTATAGTTACACTGCAGTAACATTGATATGTCAAGTATGAAAAATAACTGATAAAATTGTATTCTGGGATGCAACCTAAAGTAAAACAAGGTTATAAAGAATCCCAAGGGACCTTATACTTAATCAGTTTGTTATAAAGGTAGAAGCATCACTATATGAAATACGTAACTTGTCACGAGAGGCTGCACCGACCAAGGTCTCCACATTGAGCCTAGAGAAACAGGTCATATTGTTGATATTAGCACCCTCCCTAGCGACACTGATAACCAATTCTCCCTCCTCTCCCTCGCCCTCCTCTACCTCGCTCCTCTACCTCGCCCTCCTCCTTCCTGTATTTAGTAGTCTATTTATATCCCGTACAAAGTATATATAATTGCGTTAACAAAATCCAACACAGGACTTCTGGCTTACTAGTCTTGCGCTCTACCGAATGAGCTTAAGAGAAATTCTCCCTAGCCGAGTTGGTGGGAAGCGGCTAGCTAGTATTTCACCAGGGTGACAAACTCCCCCTCCAGGAAAGAACTCGTCCTGAGTTTTCAAGGGGCCATAGCAAATCTTCTTAAAGCATTGCTGAGTATATTTATCAATATTTCCCATGTCCCTGGGCGCCATTGTAACAGAGGTAATTATTTTATCAATGCCTCCGCTAGGAGTCGAACCCGGGGACCTCTGGCTTACTAGTCTTATGCTCCACTGAATGAGCTAAGGAGAAATTCTCCCTAGCCGAGTCAGTAGGAAGCGGCTAGTTTTTTTTAACAGGGTGACATATATAAAAACAAGTGGCTGACAGTTGCCCCTCGGGCACCTCATGTTGACCACGGTCAAGCTCAGTGCTGTGTGACTTCTGACTTCCGAAAACTGAGTTCGTAATACAGTTTTAAAATAACACTAGTTGGACCACTGATTTACTTCGTAATATATGTATAAAGACAGTAATTCGCTAGGTCAAATTCGCAATATGATCATATATTTACATTTGAGCTGCAACCCACCATATAAAAAATTACCAGCAGAAATGCATTTCATTTGAGTATGAAAGCAAAAACTCTAGTGACGTAACACGTATTTTACTTACGACGTCATATATTAACTGTGTTCAATGAGAGTCTTGTCGCTTCACTTCGAATAATATGAAAAAGGCGAAAATTTCCCAGTATACTTGAACATATTTATCTTTATTTTACATCCATGGTGATTCAGAAATATTTGTGAAAAATTCATAGAAAGAAAATCTATTACACAGAAAATATAAGGTAAAAAAAAATGTAGAAAAAAGCAAGATTGATTAGAATTTTTCTTCAATTAATTCATTTTTTATCAGAGAATGTATTCACACGAGTACACTTTTGTTATCAGATTGGGGACATGGACGGTGAGGAGAGTATGAACCTAACGACTACCTCCCTCAAACTCTGTAAAAGACAGGTGCTACGGCCCTACTGGAGACTCCTCATGTTTGTAAGTCTTTTTTGTTTTTAAATTTTGTTGTTTTATATTATGTATCAATCCTTGTATCTTTGCACAAGTGTTAAGCATGGTAATACCTCAAACTAGTTGGGTGTACTATTTTGCAAATATGTCCTGTTATCCTAATATTTTGTACTGTATAGTTTTCAAACAAGCCCAGGTATAAGGGTTGAAAGATATGCTAATACCGAGTTAAAAGGTCAAGGTAATAAGGTCACTTAGTTTAAAGTTCTTTTGAAACATAAATTTCACTTGCAAAAATATAATGATAATCAAAATTTGAGATGTTTGTTACTGATCACAATCTGATTAAAACCATATCTTGATCTATGCTCCGTTCACTCTGCTGCGTCAGCTGAAGTAGCAAAGTGTACGAAGTGAAAGGAGCGTAGATCAAGAAATGGTTTTAATCAGATTGGTTATACCGAGATATTTTAAGGAGAAAAAACAAAGACTACATAAGCTAAAAGCCAGAGGTCAAGGTAATAAAATTTCTTTTGGTTATCTGTTTTTTAATATCAATTATTTAGGAGTGATTATAATATCCCCTTACATAGTGCAAATTGTCCGCCAAGACATATATAGATAACAATCATATCAACTTCGGAAGGTCAAGGTCTAAATCAAGGTCAAAAGGTTAATTATTTCATGTTTTCATTTAAACCTCAATTACTCATTCAGCAAAATGTCTCTGCTGCTGATGTTGAATGTAATCAAAGGTCAAGGTCACCTGGCATAAAAAATATTTCAGAAGAGAAAAAAATAGAGCTTGTTCCTAAACTTTGACTTCCCATGGTAATGTGAAATAAAAAAAAATGAAGCCTTTGTTATATTTTGGTTGATTTACTTTTGATTTCGTACAAATGATGTTTTTTTCTTCTTACTCTCGACAGATTGGTTGGCGGGGATTTGGTCGTGAGTCTGTTAACTCTGGCCATCGTGGCTGGTTTTATTTGAACATTCTCTACCCTGTGTTTATTGTGATACTGCTGTTGTATACATATGTTTATGAGGTGGTAGCTTGTCAGTGGAAACTCAACATTCATAAGGATACACAAGTAAGTCTATCAGGGCACTATAGCGTATAACTTTTTTTTGTGTGGGAATGATGTTTTAACTAATTTGGGGAATATAAACATGATTGGAAAATTTGATCCACGTACGTAACGATATGACAAACGGACATGAAAACGTAGGGGGTCACCTGCCCGACCACGTGGGTTTTCTCCGGGTACTCCAGCTTCTTCCCACATTAAGACCCCTGTGCAATAACATCTGGGCCAACAAGAGCGATTAATAAAAGTTCAAATATCTGGTTTTATAATTGTTGTAAAATAAAGGAAGTTTATATATTAGCAAGCATCAAAATTATGTATGCTAACTCAAATGATTTGGTAATATGTTGTGTGGTTGTTTGAAGTATATCATGTCATCACTGCTGTACGAATACACATAAATCATTACAGGGAAGTGAACAAATGATAGATGGGTATACACGTATAAGAGTAAACTCAGACAAGTTCAATAGTATACATATTTTGTTCTATTTGTTGTTGATATTTGTTTGAAAGTCAACATTGTGGCCAATATTCCCCAAAACATTTAGTACTTTCATATCTCCAAATTGCAAAATTCTTTCCAGTGTATCATATAAACCCATTCACCCCTACAATCTCATTTGAACCTCACCAAATCAAAGAATAGGCAAGTCCCGTTTAAATTTGTTGGGGTGAATGAGTTAATGGTCTTGTTGTAACAACTATTTCTCTTTCAGTTTGTGCCAACCACAACGATGCTACCATCCACAATTCCAGCGTCTAATACAACGCCACCGTTCATAAACGAATTGACTTTCTCGCCCGCGGAGAGTATCATGACCTTGAATCTCAGTAAACTTCACCATGCTCACGCCCAGCCTCCTGAGGCGTGTGAACACATCATCACCACATACGTTATCCCAAACGTGCTGCACTTTATAGCCTACATCATGGGCATGTATCATTTTCGTATACAGGAAAATGAGCAGTTGTATGCTCTGATGGAAAAAGTGAGTCACATTTTGGCACTCATTGAGTATTGTGTTCAAACTTTTCAGAGATTTGCACATCGAAGGCCACAAGTCTTAATTTGAAACCGTCATGATTTACTCTTTTGCAACATTATATATAATTTATTTTACTGATATACTGTATTACGTCTTTTTGTATTGCAGAGTTATCTGCTCTTGATAGCAGGAATTGATTGTTACGACATTTGTTTGTGAGAGCAACGTCGCATCATTTTTTGAGAAAACAACCTAATTTTCTCGCACAAACTAATGGCGTAACAATCAATACCTGCTCACAAGAGCAGATAACTCTGTGATACGAAAAGACGGAATACTGGAAACTTTCGCCCAGTCAAATTTTCGTCCTCCACTGGTAGAATTTATTTTTGCGCCGGGTTATTTTGGCCCTTCATCATTATTACTATGTATAGTATGTTGTGTACTTATATTCTCTGTCGTGATGAATTCGTTCTCATTACAGAGGACGAAAAAGGCGAAAATTAAACTGCTGCAAAAATATCCTCACTGATTTTGTTTACAGGTATTTTTACAAGCTACACCTCTATATAACAGATCAATATCTCAACAGAAGATGATCAGGAAACTAAGGTTAGTGTAGAACATCCTACTGTAGTGTAGAACATCCTACTGTAGTGTAGAACATCCTACTGTAGTGTAGAACATCCTACTGTAGTGTAGAACATCCTACTGTAGTGTAGAACATCCTACTGTAGTGTAGAACATCCTACTGTAGTGTAGAACATCCTACTGTAGTGTAGAACATCCTACTGTAGTGTAGAACATCCTACTGTAGTGTAGAACATCCTACTGTAGTGTAGAACATCCTACTGTAGTGTAGAACATCCTACTGTAGTGTAGAACATCCTACTGTAGTGTAGAACATCCTACTGTAGTGTAGAACATCCTACTGTAGTGTAGAACATCCTACTGTAGTGTAGAACATCCTACTGTAGTGTAGAACATCCTACTGTAGTGTAGAACATCCTACTGTAGTGTAGAACATCCTACTGTAGTGTAGAACATCCTACTGTAGTGTAGAACATCCTACTGTAGTGTAGAACATCCTACTGTAGTGTAGAACATCCTACTGTAGTGTAGAACATCCTACTGTAGTGTAGAACATCCTACTGTAGTGTAGAACATCCTACTGTAGTGTAGAACATCCTACTGTAGTGTAGAACATCCTACTGTAGTGTAGAACATCCTACTGTAGTGTAGAACATCCTACTGTAGTGTAGAACATCCTACTGTAGTGTAGAACATCCTACTGTAGTGTAGAACATCCTACTGTAGTGTAGAACATCCTACTGTAGTGTAGAACATCCTACTGTAGTGTAGAACATCCTACTGTAGTGTAGAACATCCTACTGTAGTGTAGAACATCCTACTGTAGTGTAGAACATCCTACTGTAGTGTAGAACATCCTACTGTAGTGTAGAACATCCTACTGTAGTGTAGAACATCCTACTGTAGTGTAGAACATCCTACTGTAGTGTAGAACATCCTACTGTAGTGTAGAACATCCTACTGTAGTGTAGAACATCCTACTGTAGTGTAGAACATCCTACTGTAGTGTAGAACATCCTACTGTAGTGTAGAACATCCTACTGTAGTGTAGAACATCCTACTGTAGTGTAGAACATCCTACTGTAGTGTAGAACATCCTACTGTAGTGTAGAACATCCTACTGTAGTGTAGAACATCCTACTGTAGTGTAGAACATCCTACTGTAGTGTAGAACATCCTACTGTAGTGTAGAACATCCTACTGTAGTGTAGAACATCCTACTGTAGTGTAGAACATCCTACTGTAGTGTAGAACATCCTACTGTAGTGTAGAACATCCTACTGTAGTGTAGAACATCCTACTGTAGTGTAGAACATCCTACTGTAGTGTAGAACATCCTACTGTAGTGTAGAACATCCTACTGTAGTGTAGAACATCCTACTGTAGTGTAGAACATCCTACTGTAGTGTAGAACATCCTACTGTAGTGTAGAACATCCTACTGTAGTGTAGAACATCCTACTGTAGTGTAGAACATCCTACTGTAGTGTAGAACATCCTACTGTAGTGTAGAACATCCTACTGTAGTGTAGAACATCCTACTGTAGTGTAGAACATCCTACTGTAGTGTAGAACATCCTACTGTAGTGTAGAACATCCTACTGTAGTGTAGAACATCCTACTGTAGTGTAGAACATCCTACTGTAGTGTAGAACATCCTACTGTAGTGTAGAACATCCTACTGTAGTGTAGAACATCCTACTGTAGTGTAGAACATCCTACTGTAGTGTAGAACATCCTACTGTAGTGTAGAACATCCTACTGTAGTGTAGAACATCCTACTGTAGTGTAGAACATCCTACTGTAGTGTAGAACATCCTACTGTAGTGTAGAACATCCTACTGTAGTGTAGAACATCCTACTGTAGTGTAGAACATCCTACTGTAGTGTAGAACATCCTACTGTAGTGTAGAACATCCTACTGTAGTGTAGAACATCCTACTGTAGTGTAGAACATCCTACTGTAGTGTAGAACATCCTACTGTAGTGTAGAACATCCTACTGTAGTGTAGAACATCCTACTGTAGTGTAGAACATCCTACTGTAGTGTAGAACATCCTACTGTAGTGTAGAACATCCTACTGTAGTGTAGAACATCCTACTGTAGTGTAGAACATCCTACTGTAGTGTAGAACATCCTACTGTAGTGTAGAACATCCTACTGTAGTGTAGAACATCCTACTGTAGTGTAGAACATCCTACTGTAGTGTAGAACATCCTACTGTAGTGTAGAACATCCTACTGTAGTGTAGAACATCCTACTGTAGTGTAGAACATCCTACTGTAGTGTAGAACATCCTACTGTAGTGTAGAACATCCTACTGTAGTGTAGAACATCCTACTGTAGTGTAGAACATCCTACTGTAGTGTAGAACATCCTACTGTAGTGTAGAACATCCTACTGTAGTGTAGAACATCCTACTGTAGTGTAGAACATCCTACTGTAGTGTAGAACATCCTACTGTAGTGTAGAACATCCTACTGTAGTGTAGAACATCCTACTGTAGTGTAGAACATCCTACTGTAGTGTAGAACATCCTACTGTAGTGTAGAACATCCTACTGTAGTGTAGAACATCCTACTGTAGTGTAGAACATCCTACTGTAGTGTAGAACATCCTACTGTAGTGTAGAACATCCTACTGTAGTGTAGAACATCCTACTGTAGTGTAGAACATCCTACTGTAGTGTAGAACATCCTACTGTAGTGTAGAACATCCTACTGTAGTGTAGAACATCCTACTGTAGTGTAGAACATCCTACTGTAGTGTAGAACATCCTACTGTAGTGTAGAACATCCTACTGTAGTGTAGAACATCCTACTGTAGTGTAGAACATCCTACTGTAGTGTAGAACATCCTACTGTAGTGTAGAACATCCTACTGTAGTGTAGAACATCCTACTGTAGTGTAGAACATCCTACTGTAGTGTAGAACATCCTACTGTAGTGTAGAACATCCTACTGTAGTGTAGAACATCCTACTGTAGTGTAGAACATCCTACTGTAGTGTAGAACATCCTACTGTAGTGTAGAACATCCTACTGTAGTGTAGAACATCCTACTGTAGTGTAGAACATCCTACTGTAGTGTAGAACATCCTACTGTAGTGTAGAACATCCTACTGTAGTGTAGAACATCCTACTGTAGTGTAGAACATCCTACTGTAGTGTAGAACATCCTACTGTAGTGTAGAACATCCTACTGTAGTGTAGAACATCCTACTGTAGTGTAGAACATCCTACTGTAGTGTAGAACATCCTACTGTAGTGTAGAACATCCTACTGTAGTGTAGAACATCCTACTGTAGTGTAGAACATCCTACTGTAGTGTAGAACATCCTACTGTAGTGTAGAACATCCTACTGTAGTGTAGAACATCCTACTGTAGTGTAGAACATCCTACTGTAGTGTAGAACATCCTACTGTAGTGTAGAACATCCTACTGTAGTGTAGAACATCCTACTGTAGTGTAGAACATCCTACTGTAGTGTAGAACATCCTACTGTAGTGTAGAACATCCTACTGTAGTGTAGAACATCCTACTGTAGTGTAGAACATCCTACTGTAGTGTAGAACATCCTACTGTAGTGTAGAACATCCTACTGTAGTGTAGAACATCCTACTGTAGTGTAGAACATCCTACTGTAGTGTAGAACATCCTACTGTAGTGTAGAACATCCTACTGTAGTGTAGAACATCCTACTGTAGTGTAGAACATCCTACTGTAGTGTAGAACATCCTACTGTAGTGTAGAACATCCTACTGTAGTGTAGAACATCCTACTGTAGTGTAGAACATCCTACTGTAGTGTAGAACATCCTACTGTAGTGTAGAACATCCTACTGTAGTGTAGAACATCCTACTGTAGTGTAGAACATCCTACTGTAGTGTAGAACATCCTACTGTAGTGTAGAACATCCTACTGTAGTGTAGAACATCCTACTGTAGTGTAGAACATCCTACTGTAGTGTAGAACATCCTACTGTAGTGTAGAACATCCTACTGTAGTGTAGAACATCCTACTGTAGTGTAGAACATCCTACTGTAGTGTAGAACATCCTACTGTAGTGTAGAACATCCTACTGTAGTGTAGAACATCCTACTGTAGTGTAGAACATCCTACTGTAGTGTAGAACATCCTACTGTAGTGTAGAACATCCTACTGTAGTGTAGAACATCCTACTGTAGTGTAGAACATCCTACTGTAGTGTAGAACATCCTACTGTAGTGTAGAACATCCTACAGTTGTCTCTGTAATATGGGGTGTTTTCCATGTGCATTATTGAAGTTTAGAGGTTACCATAAGTCCATTTCAATATCCCACTCCGTATTTATAGTCCAAGACTCCCATATCTTCCCAAGAGGCCCGAGAGCTGATATGGGTTGAGAGTAGGATATGGAAATGGTCATATGGTCATTTTTATCATATACATGTACAGCTCTATAATATCAAAATCATTAGCAATAAAACAATTAAGAAAATTCATATCTCATAATAACTATAATTATATTTCCTTTAAATAAAACACAATGAACAGAATAGCAAATACAGACTGATATACATGCTGGTGTACATTTCCAGTTCGAGGTTTGATTTCTGTGTTGAACTGGAAGTTATACATATGCGCATGTCGGGCAGATATGAAAAACTGATGTTTTGGTCCAGGATATGGCCTATGTGCAGCTAGCATTTAGTATCACACATGCAAAATAACATGACAAGTATGTGATATGGCTGATAGCCCTGGACTGATCTATATCTGCCCTTACCTGCCATATCTGCCCTCTGATCTGCCCTCGCCTGCCATATCTGCCCTGGACTGATCTATATCTGCCCTGCACTGATCTATATCTGCCCTCGCCTGCCATATCTGCCCTCGCCTGCCATATCTGCCCTGGACTGATCTATATCTGCCCTCGCCTGCCATATCTGCCCTCGCCTGCCATATCTGCTCTTGCCTGCCATGTCTGCCTCCCACGGACCTTATATATATATATCCTGTTTAATTACTTCAGGTTTAACAGGTTGTCCATGTAGAAAAACTTAATGCCTCAATTGATGTGTGTTATAGTTTATAATTTTGGTTTTGTGCTAAAATATTTTAAATGGGTAGAGCCCATGATAAAAAGGTATTTATAATATGACCATTTCCATAACCTATTCCATATCAACCCAGGACTTCCATATATCAGCTCAAGGAAATATGGAAATGGTCATATTAGGGCTGTCGTTAATAGGTCTTACTTAACCAAAAAACAAAAGATTCAAGATTGGAAGCTATGAAAATATATCAAATCCAAAAAATAAAATTGAAAAGTTTTATTTATTTTACATAAAAATTCCTTGCTTTAATTCCTGGTTACTTCAGAGACATACAATTGTACAAAGATTGGCAAGAAATTGATATACCATGATTTTGTCACATAGTTCACAGTCAACTTTTGTTGATCTTTTCTATTTTTGTTTACAGGCTATTTTTGGCAGTAGGGGGTTTCTGGGTAGGGGTAACACTGGGGATGCAGGGACTGTATGAATGGGCATTTGACTTTCCTGCTCTGGCATTTTTTCGTAAAACAGGGTAAGTACAGCTGCAGATATTAGAATTTTGTTAATCCAGGCTTCAATAACTCATTCACCCCTGAAGACACATTTGAACTTTTCCAATTCAAAGGTTGGAATAGTTCATTATGAAATTTCAGGGTTGAATAAAAATAATCTGGAAGATACACTTTCAGGAATCTGAGGTTCTGGAACTAAAGTACTAGGTGGAATAACATTTCTTGTTTCAGTAATTGCAATAATGAATTATTCCAGATTTTGTGCCCAAAACTTATGTGTTCAGACCTACAATATTCATTTTTTATAAAAAAAAAGAAAAAATCATTGTCTTAATTGTATTATTCTTTGACTGGAACTAGGTTTTGTTATATTTTGCATTAAACATTACTTTTGAGGTCTTTTTTGTAACCTTAAATAAAAAAATTAAAAAAATGGAAAAATTCATATACCCACAATATGAAAAATAACTTATCATGGAGCAGGAAGTAATTATTTATGGTCGATTGTATGGCTATTATTTTTTTCCGTGAAAATTGTGAATAGTTTTTATTGCTCACACAGAAAGGTAGCCCATTGGGTGCTGTTTATTGTGGAGTTACTCGGGATCATGGTTCTCAACTCTGTATCCCTGGCTGTCATCGCTAATTACGTCACACAATGCGAGATGACGTTGTTCTACATACGCGGACTGGCGCTCCGCCTCCAGGAGAAATCCACGGAGATCAAGGCAGCAATGAAGGTATATATATACTCCACAGAAACCATAGCAACCTTATTTATCACATAACTGACCCATTTTGCTATGTCATATACGTCCATGTCATAAATATGGTATCACACACGGGTAATAAAACTTAAAGGTGCTACGATTGATCAAAACGGTGGGAACATATTCCTACACCACGTACTACAGGTATACTACTTTTATTTATCATACCACGTACATGATACATTTACTGTTATTTTAAATGAACTTGAAAGGGTTATTTTATCATTATTATTTTCATTGCATTTAAAATTGTTCATTATTAAAAAAAAAAATCTGGTACTACTTTGCTCTGCGCAAAATGACAATACTATGATCGGATTACTTTGGCTGTGTAGAGTCAGCTGATAACATATGATTGTGTTTGAAGGCTCGTGTCATATAAAATTATTGAACTCGTTTAATAAATTCAATATGACATGGACACTCATGTAAGATCCTCTATATATGGCACTACAGAATTCGTTTAAAAATTTTAGCTTGGTAAAATTGAGATTTTGGTCTTTTAGACAAAACAGAAACAATTTCACAGAATGAAATGTAAAGGAATAGAATAAAAGCAAATATTTTATCCAACAGAAACAGTCTTTCATCATAAGACCTCTTTCAGCAATATGGTAATTAACATCAGGAATTAATATATTTTTGTTTCTTTTATATCAGAAAATATGTTAAGGTAATAGGATTGTGTCGCCATTTCTCAGTAGAATTTTGTAGTTATATTGCTTTGAAGTAAAGAAAATTTTCTGCCATAAAAAAAATAAAGGATGTCAGAATTTTAAGGATTTTAAATGGAATTTATGTAAAAAGGAGTGAATTTTGAAAAAACAATTTGAAACACACATTTTTTTGCAAAATAATGTCAATAAAAATGATACTAACATAGATTAGTATTGCATTAACATAAATGCTGAAATTGTGTAAAATTAATTATCTATAAACGATTAAAAATTGACATTTTATAATAAAACCATATACACATAGTAAGTACATGCAAGAGTTATCGTTCTTGAAAAACTTCACAGTAGGGAAATAGGTAGCCGGTTTCCTGAAGTACACAAAAATGGACACATGTGACTCATTGATTAAAAAAACAACTGAATTAATGCCTGGATTGCTTTGCAATACTTTAATATTGAAAGAACACACTGTTCTGTCAATAATAAGCATACAATATTCATCAGTTTAATATTAAACGTTAGAATATGCAGAAATTGTGATACTGTCTCCCTGCATTGGATTTTCAACTAGGGATGTACTTCCTATTTCTGTTTAGCAATACACTCCTATGACCTTAATAGCTATAAATTTAGCTCATCCACCCCTGAAATTTTATAATGAACTATTTCAACCTTTGAATTTGAGGAGTTCAAATGTGTCTTCAGGGGTGAATGAGTTAAGTGGTGAACTTACAAAATCATTCACAGCAATGCTGAATTTTAATTCACAAAATGGACAATGTTTTACCTTAACCTCAATGACCTTGCTAATTAACATAATGGGAATCGGGCATAACTGCAGACAGACACATTTCTGGATTTTGATAGAAAAGTGGAAAAATCTATCGCCAAAGAAGACTGAGTGGAGATGGTGCAGTAATCTGAAAAGTGGTGTATAAATTAACGATACTTGACTGTATGTATATAATACATTAATATAATATTAATGTGAACGATTTCTCTTAAGACCAACAAGATAATATTTGTTGATTTTTCAACTTATCTTCTTTATTTTTTCAGGATTTATTTGTGGTCAAACAGAATCTAAGTCTGCTAAATGGACCGATAGCGAGAATGACGTCTTTGGTAGCTGTGATATTTGCAGAGTTGATTATAATAGGTAATCCTTATCGGAACTCAAATTACTTACATTTATGAATTGGTCAGATTTTATTTTTCAATTGTATCATTTGTTTATGTTTTTCCGATTTGAATGTAACATCATATTGTTGATAAACCAGGGTAATCCGGTAAAACAGCAGATAAAACAATTCATCTCCATATTTCATACACTAGCCTGTTCTCAACAAGGATGATACATCTAATGATAACGCTATATAGTACATCAAAGATTGCTTTTTATGCAGTGTTTCCAAAATTAGATGAAAATTTAAGATAAAATGTTTTGTATCAAAATGAATGTTAATTCATGACTGATTATCAGTGATAAAACGAAGGCGACAAAATTCCATATTCAATTGGTAATAAACCCATGCATCAACATGTTAAAAAATGCATGATAGAGTGAATTAAACTTTGACAGATATGATCTTCAAAGATTCTAATGTGATAAAAGTACGGGAAATTCTACAATAACCCAAAGCCATTACAGGATTCAGAAAATGTTACTCTGATTATGTTTTCACACCTAAAACAGATAAAATGGGTTAAGTGGGATATTTTAACCCGTTGCCTTTCACCCCTGTAGACCATAATAGACTCATCTCGATGAATGTATGGTAGAGTCTACTCAAGTTACCTAGGGGTGAAAGGGTTAAAGCAAAAATGTTTTTATTATTTTTTATCATTCTGTTTACTTTTTTGCAGGCATCAGTATTTTAGTCCTTAACAAAAACAACTCGCCAAAGGTGTGGACCTATCGGAGTATCTTTCCATTGGTGTGGGCCAGTATGCTCATCTGTCCTCTATACCAGGTAAATCAATATGAATCTTTAATGTAAGACATAAAAATAAATGACCGTACTGCATACTGATCCGGACTAAATACACGTAACAATCAGGTCATTATTTTTCCAATGTGTCTGCTAGGAGTTGAACCAGGACCTCTGGCTTACTAGTCTTAAGCTCTACCTATAAGCTAGCCGAGTTGGTAGGAAGCAGCTAGTATTTTAATTACCAGGGTGACAAACTCCCCCTCGTGGACTAGTCCTCTTATGTTTTGCACAGGTTATAGCGATTCCTTTGCAAATATCGCCAAGTATTTTTGTCAAATCTCCCGAGTCCCTACATGGGTGCCAATGTAACGGAGTTCATTATTTTTTCAATGTTTCCACTAGGAGTTGAACCTGGGACCTCTCTCTAGTATAATAGACTTATGCTTTACCGAATGAGCTAAGGAGAAATTCTCCCTAGCCGAGTCGGTAGGAAGTGCATTTTACTAGGGTGACATACATACAAAATGTATAAGGTTAAAGGATGGTCGAACTGTTGATAATGATTCAGTGTAAGTTTGAAACGGGGAAAATAAATGTTAATTTTTCAGTATGAAGTGAAACACTGGTTACATGATATGGGAACCAGTCTCATACAGAGCACACCTAATGGCTGATATGGGCCATACAAATGCCTGACAAAACAACTTCTTTAGTGAAACAGTTGCCAGAGAAGCAAAATGACTTTGATCTTGATAAGTGCTGTTTACTAAAGCAGTTACCATGACAATCACCTATAAAATATGGAAGACTCCGTTTTTACTAAAACAGTTGCCATGACGGCTGGCGTCAGTGCTGTGGGCCATCATATAGTTATCATGTTGGAAATTTTCAGACATTGTCTCGCATTTGAGATATTCCATTAGTTGTTATGCTTGCATGCACTTCAGTTGTCCTATAAAAACAAAATTAATAAGGATTTTTAAAACTATTAAGATTGAAAATCGCTATGTCTTTTGTTCATAAACAACTTTTGGTTGAACACTTTCCATTTTTAATGTCATTTTTTGCAACATTTTTAGTCTCCAAACTTTGGACAGATCAGAAATCATTAAAACGTTAACACACCAAACTGCCTTTTGATTTTTTAAGTAGGAAATTAAAAGTTCAGGTAAATTCATTCAACCAAAACATACAAAGGAATATCACAAATGGAAGACAACCTCATAAATCGAGGGAATTTTCAACCTGTTTTTTAGAACATTTTAAACGATTGCAACTATTGGGCATACCTCCGTTTTACTTTATTACACCGCTGATTTACCAGGTAATTGATCAATGATTCATGACAATTGTTTCCCATATTAGAAACTGGAATACTTTTTTTCCAAGATATGATTGATTGATTGATTTAATAATGGATGATGTGATGGTTGATCATAATGTTTATCTAACCTCAGTATTTGAAATTTTCAAATTGCTTAAGACATTCAGTCAACCTGGTCTATAAATTTGAAAATTAAAAATGAGAGTCACCTAGGTCTGCAACGATATGCGATATGATGCTCACGAAACAAATTTCTGCTTAACCCTTTCACCCCTATGTAACTTTAGTAGACTATACCATGCATTGATCTGGATGAGTCCATTATGGTCTACAATGGTGAAAGGGTTAACAGGTCAACTTCATAATGACTGTTTGCAGGAGTTTATCAAGTTTTGTCAAGGACTTCAATAGTAAATACTATCGAAACCTATGTTTGTATAATGTTTAGTATTTTTGGCATGACTGCACAGCTAGTGGACCACATCTTTACTGAAGGATTGAAAAGTTATAAATACATTTTTTTTAGAGTTTGATAAAAATTGATAGATAATTTATTGTATTATGGTACTGGCAAACAAACTAATTTGGTATGAAACATAAGGCAGTATCACGATACGATACAATATATTGTTGTAGCCCTATAGTCAAACCAATACTTGTTTGAGAACTTCTCTATACATTTTGGATGTCTAAATGTATTGTAGGCAGCCAAAGTTGTTTGCCAGTACCGTAATGCACTAAATTGTAACAATTTAGTGAATTACGGTACTGGCAAACAAAATAATTTGATACAATGCACAAGAAAGTATCGCGATAGGATACAATATATTTGTGCAGCCCTATAGTCAGCCATGACTTGTTGGAGAGCCTCTCTATATCTTGTAATTGACTTTGTATTGTAGGCTGCCAAAGTGAATTCGGTGTGTAATGGTATAAAGAAGATTGCGGTAGAGATGAGAGTTTTTGGGTACAAGGGATCATCTCAACTGGAGCTAGACTCGTTCCTAGGATTCGTTAGCCAAGTACAACTAAAGGTAAGTACAAAGATCTGAGGTTTGATTTGTTTGTATTTTACGTCCTATTAACAGCCATGGTCATTTAAGGATGTGCCAGATTTTGGTGGTGGAGGAAAGCCAGGGTACACGGAGAAAAACCAACGACCTGCGGGTAGTACAAAAGTCAGAGGAGCAAGATGGTTATTGCATTAGATGAAACGTTGGAACAATAACGATTTACTATACAACAATTTTAAAGCTGTTCAAATATATGAACATTGATGTTGGTATGTATTCATTAACCTTATGCCTGAAACTAGTGTAAAAGATATATAATCATGTGCCAGAAATGTCTTTAAATGTTATGCCAGGTCAGATGGTAGATGATCAAGGTCAGAAGTTTTAATGTCAAGGTCAAAGGTGTGGAAAGTCGAGGTCAGAGGGTAGTTAAGACCAGAGGGATGGTAGATGATCAAGGTCAGAAGTTTTAATGTCAAGGTCAAAGGTGTGGAAAGTCGAGGTCAGAGGGATGATAAATGATCAAGGTCAGAGGATAACATATCAAGGTCAAATATGTTTATAGTAACGGTCCAAGGTGTCAAAAGTCAAGGTCAGGGGGTGGCCAGAGGGACGTAGTCAATGTCAGGGGTGTACATGATCAGGGTCAGGACTTGATGATCATGGTCAATGGTTTGAGGATCAAAGTCGGGCGGTTTCAAGGACAAAATCAGAGTAAAATGGTCAAGATTATGGGGATAGGTTTTAAAAGTCAAAATTGGTAAACTATCAAGATTTTTGGAGTAATGAAATAAAATAATTAAGGTTGAATGGGGTAGATTATTGAGACCAATGGAGCATGATGACAGATGATGAAATTTTATAAATAAATCTTGATTTTTTTTATGTATTGATACTTTGACATTTCAATGTACATTTTGTATTTTGTAATATAGTGTTTTTACTTTATTTCTAAATAGACTTATTTCGTAGTAATCTTGATGTTGTTTAAAACTTCTTTTCAGGCCAAGATATTCAGCATTCCAGTCATGCCATCCTACCTCATCTCCATACTTGTGTTGACATCATTCATCCTCCTCATCCTCTTCCAGACCAGCATCATCGGCCCCGTCAACTACTGGTTCTTACTCCAGGAATATGGACTGTGTCAATTCCTCCTCATCCTCTTCCAGACCAGCATCATAGGCCCCGTCAACTACTGGTTCTTACTCCAGGAATATGGACTGTCTCAATTCCTCCTCATCCTCTTCCAGACCAGCACCATCGGCCCCGTCAACTACTGGTTCTAACTCCAGAAACATGGACTGTGTCAATTCCTCCTCATCCCCTTCCAGACCAGCATCATCGGCCCCGTCAAATACTGGTTCTAACTCCAGGAACATGGACTGTGTCAACTCCTCCTCATCCTCTTCCAGACCAGCATCAGCGGCCCCGTCAACTACTGGTTCTAACTCCAGAAACATGGACTGTGTCAATTCCTCCTCATCCCCTTCCAGACCAGCATCATCGGCCCCGTCAACTACTGGTTCTAACTCCTGGAAACGGGGACTGTGTCACATCCTCCTCACCCTCTTCCAGACCAGCATCATCGGCCCCGTCAAATACTGGTTCTAACTCCAGGAACATGGACTGTGTCAATTCCTCCCCATCCTCTTCCAGACCAGCATCATCAGCCCCGTCAACTGCTGGTTCTAACTCCTGGGATTCTAACTCCTGGGAACGTGGACTGTGTCACATCCTCCTCCAGACCAGCATCATCGGCCACGCCAACTTCTGGTTCTAACTCCTGGGAACGGGGACTGTGTCTCATCCTCCTCCAGACCAGCATCATCAGCCCCGCCAACTTCTGGTTCTAACTCCTGGGAACGGGGACCGTGTCACATCCTCCTCCAGACCAGCATCATCACCCCCGTAAACTACTGGTTCTAACTCCTGGGAACACGGACTGTGTCACATCCTCCTCATTGTCTTTCAGACCAGCATCATCAGCCCTGTCAACTTCTGGTTCTAACTCCAGGAACATGGACGGTGGCAATTCCTCCTCATCCTCTTCCAGACCAGCGTCATCGGCCCCGTCAACTACTGGTTCTAACTCCTGGGATTATAACTCCTGGGAACGGGGACTGTGTCACATCCTCCTCACCCTCTTCCAGACCAGCATCATCGGCCCCGCCAACTTCTGGTTCTAACTCCTGGGAACGGGGACTGTGTCGCATCCTCCTCCAGACCAGCATCATCGGCCACGCCAACTTCTGGTTCTAACTCCTGGGAACGGGGACTGTGTCTCATCCTCCTCCAGACCAGCATCATCAGCCCCGCCAACTTCTGGTTCTAACTCCTGGGAACGGGGACCGTGTCACATCCTCCTCCAGACCAGCATCATCAGCCCCGTCAACTACTGGTTCTAACTCCTGGGATTCTAACTCCTGGGAACGGGGACTGTGTCACATCCTCCTCCAGACCAGCATCATCGGCCCCGCCAACTTCTGGTTCTAACTCCTGGGAACGGGGACTGTGTCACATCCTCCTCCAGACCAGCATCATCAGCCCCGTAAACTACTGGTTCTAACTCCTGGGAACAGGGACTGTGTCACATCCTCCTCATTGTCTTTCAGACCAGCATCATCAGCCCTGTCAACTTCTGGTTCTAACTCCTGGGAACGGGGACTGTGTCACATCCTCCTCATTGTCTTTCAGACCAGCATCATAGGCCCCTTCAACTTCTGGTTCTAACTCCTTGAACGTGGACTGTGTCACATCCTCCTCCAGACCAACATCATCAGCCCCGTAAACTACTGGTTCTAACTCCTGGGAACAGGGACTGTGTCACATCCTCCTCATTGTCTTTCAGACCAGCATCATCGGCCCCTTCAACTTCTGGTTCTAACTCCTGGAACGTGGACTGTGTCACATCCTCCTCATTGTCTTTCAGACCAGCATCATCAGCCCTTACTCAGGTGCAAGGACTGCATCAGATTATTAATTAGATTTGTTGTATTTTGCTTAGATTGTTCCATGTGTCAATGCCTGACTCTATATGTGCTTTATTAGTGACACATACTGATTGGTGTTCAATTTATTTTTTCCTGCACTGAGACATATATAGACATTGATACAGTGAGCCAACAAAAGGGAAAAAAATACCAGTTACACTTATTGAAAATCCACTAAGTTGTCTATGTGACATTTCCGACAGAGCACAACAGGGTCTTTTTCGGACAACCTCGGATTTCAGCTGTAACTTATATATTTGTATGCCACACTTACCAGTTGTCTATGTAATAAGGGGGACATTTCACCACAGGAACAATTTAAGACACCTAAAGTTTTCAGCTGCAATATTTGTATGTCACATTAACTAGTCATTTGATTGTGTGACAACAAATTAAGATTAGGTGTCGGTGAGAATTTCCTGCTGTGATAAGATTGTGTGTGTTGAACATACATTTACTGCTGTCTTTAACTTGTGACAGGACATTTCAGTAGTTCGATCGTGATATTAATTTTCTACCGTAATATGTTGATGTACTGTCAAATGTTGCTGTGAGATTTTGACTCGTCATCTCTATGTGCACATAACTGAGAATTAAAACAAGGTATCGGAGATAAATGAAAATTGTACTGGATTACATCGTGCTCACAAGAACTAAGGAATATTATAGGTCACAGAAACTTAATTGATTAATGCCTTTTGTCTTGTGCTCTGCAGTCTGGACATGTGCAGCTTTGGGTGTTTTAATCAACATGATGAACAATTCTCAAAAGTGTTCTATATATAAACTTTATTTATCTTACAGCAATTATGAAACAAGTTATTTTAACTTAGTTACTAATATTATATTGATCACTCTTGTTGGCCCGGATGTTAGCGCGCGGGGGTCTTAATGTGGGAGGAAACCAGAGTACCTGTAGAAAACCCACAAACCACACGGCCGCCTTGGTGAAAGGCGAGTACGCTATCCACTGCACCACGTACCCGACCACTAAAAAGTGTTCATTGATGAATAAAGGTTAAAGCTGAATTAATAAATGTACCTGGTCTCCCCTATACAAATTTGTTTTAATGACCGGGGAAATGAATACTCCTGCATGCAACGAAATGCATGAATGAGCAAAGTAATATGTGAAAGTATTAATGCAGCACTATCGGTATTCCAAACGTTCATGCTTCAAAAAGTTTTAATCGTTGAGGCATGAAAATTTCCTTCAGAAAAAAGTGTTTGCACAGTTTTTACAGTACATGGATTTGTTTTCACTACATAGATTTTGCAAGCTTTCAAAGTAATCACTGTCATAGCTGTACAAAACAGGAAGTAAGATTTGGGCATGTGCAGTGCATTTGTTCATAATGACTATAGATGGGGCTTACAAGGGTGATCTTTATACGTAGTAAGGGAAATTATGAAAACAATAAGGATATGCAAAATTCAAAATATTTATTTTTAGGTCACCTGAGACAAAGTCTCAAGTGACCTATTGCGATCGCCTTTTGTCCGTCGTCGTCCGTCGTGCGTCCGTAAACAATTTACATTTTCGACTTCTTCTCCAAAACCCCTGAACCAATTTCAATGAAATTTTGCAGGGACCTTCCATGGACAAAGGTCAACAAAAAT